CACGGAGAGGGACGGGGGCGGAGTGGGAGAGATTCTCAGAGACCGACGCCGGCAGAGACCCCGGCGCAGAGTAAGACCCAGGGATCGCTCTGAAGGCAGGAGTTAGCACAAAGCACAGGGCCTGGCGCATGGTAGGCATTCCATACATGTTCCCCAAATTACTGCGGCACGAATCTAAATATAGGCAACGGAAGATGGACGACTCCCAAATGGGGCTGGGAAGCGCAACGACCGCAGAGCCTGAGCACCCCCTACCCCACCCAGAGTCTTGGGGGCGGGGGAGGGCGCTGGTGGGAGAGGCGGGGGAGGGGGGCGGGAGACAGGTGCCTCCTGCCCCCTGCCGGCTCCTCCCGGGGCCACCCTCCGCTGCCCTGGATAGAGAGGAACCACAACTCCCAACAGCCCCGCGGACAGCAACCCTCTACCACTGAGGGCTCTGGTGCCTCAAGGCCTTATGGGAGTTGGAGTCTCCATCATCCCGAGACAGACAAGTTTTCTGGCCAAGGAATGTGGCAAGCCTGGGTCTCCTCCGCGCCTCTGTAAAAGCCCCCAAATGCATGATTGATCCTCTCTGCGCAAGGCTCCTTCCTTCGGGGACGCTCACCCTGGGCTCCGTCGAAGAAGTAGGAGTCTGGAAGGGAGATAAAGAAGCTCCCCCTCCCAGAATAGCTGCCAGTACAGGCAAGCCCCTCACCCTCGCTCGCATATGTGTGTTCCCATGTTGGAAGCAGAGCCCACACATTCCACATTCCAACTGGCTTTCTGGGTACACCTGTACGCAGGGGACCACAGCCAGCAAAGCTGAGGCCGCCAGGGGCACGCTAAGGGCAGGAGACAGGAGAAGCAAAGGATCAGACAGACATTAGAGGAGACGAGGCCAGAGTAAGCAAGAGGCAAAAATCCACTGCAACTCCAGGGCATGGGGGAAGTGGCAGCATAGGAGAAAGCCTGGAGCCCACAGAACTGGGGGGGGGGGGAGCAAGCAAATAGCTCTGCAGAGGGTGTGGGGACTCCAGACCCTGAGGTCCCCAGCCTCCAGTCTCTTCCATCCATGCTCACACGTGCACGATGCATGTGTACACACATGTGTGAGTTTGTGGCAGGGAACATGTGTGTCCTCAGCTCCCTCCCCTGAGAAGCTGCAGTTCCCACTAAATATAACCCCCTCCCCAGCCTGTGACTCACCCGGACCCCGCCTCCCCGGCCCCCACTTCCTGTCCCACCCCCCAACCCCCAGCTGCCTGCCACCCGCCCAAGCTCCCTCCACACACCAGGCATCCAGCTTGCCAGTCCCAGAGCCTCACAGCCAAGACCTAGGTATTCTGCATCCCACCAGGAGCTGGCCTGTGCTCCCCATCCAAGCGCTGCCCTTTCCGGCTCCAACCACGGGGACCCCCTCCGCCGGTCCTCACTGCTGCCAACCCTGCCCTCCTCCTCCAGCTCCTTTGCACCCTGGGAACCTGAAATCCAGGTGTCCTCCCCCACCTTGATGCCAAGTGACAGGGGTAAGGGGAACATGCCCCTCCATCTGCTCTTCTCCTTTCTCAACAAGGGGTGGATACAGTGTGGGAGGAGACAGGGATATTGAGCACCTGCCTGGGCCACCCCCAAATTCTGCACCACCCACCTGGTCCCCTCCTCAAATCCCCTCTCTCCCCAAAGCTCTCCTCCTCCACCTCCTCAGGGTCTGGCATCCTCCACTGCTGCAAGCCTCTCCCTCCCAAGGGAGCACCCCAAATCCTCACCTCACCTGGTCCATTCCCTCAGGTGATCCTGTGTCAGGCGCTAGCCCTCTGACAATTCCCAACTATCCCGCTCTATAGGATCAAACCCTGAATTCCCAGTTCCCCGTAATTGAGCGTACCCCCAAATGTATCCACCACGAGACGCTTGCTCTATAGGTTGAAGGCCCACCCCTTCTCTGCCAGCTGACACCCCCAGACCAGTCAGGCACTCACAGCCAATAACCGTCTACCCCCATGCCAAGAGCCCCTGAAATTGGACAAGACACCCAGAAGCCAGTTTGTCCCTCAGGAGGGAAGAGAACCCCCCCTCACACAGTCCACCTTCTAATGTACAAGAGCAGGACTCCCATGTGAGCCAGGTTTCTCCTTAAATAAGTCTCCCTCAAACATCATTGGTGAACCCCAAAACCCATCAGCCCCCCAAACCACAAAACAGCCCAAATTTTCCATTTCTCTACAGGTACAAAGAGATCACTACAGGGGGCACCTGTGGCCAAACCTAGCACGATCTCAGATGTGAACCCCCGAAGTAAATCATGACCCCCCTGTACACTCCCAGCCTCCAGCCCCAGATCAGGCCTGCCTAACCCCTCCCCACAAACTCATACCCTCCCCCCATTTGAGAGCCCCCCTATCGTGCTTACCTTGGTTGTCACTATACAGAGACAGTCCATGTTGGGGGGGCTGGCCGCGGCGGCGGGTAAGGGGCTCTGACTTCATCGGAGTTTCGTTCCTCCCCTCTGTGGGTTCTCACCCCTCCCCCCTCCGCACCCCACTTTTGCAGGGGGGGCCAGGATGGGGGGAGGGGTGAGAGGGGAAAGAGGGGGTTGGAGAAGGGAAGGGGAGGGGTGCGTGGGAGGGAGGGGAAGGGGGCCCTAGAAGGGGGTCCCCAGTGGAGGGGAGGGGGCCTGGGGAGCACACCCCGATTCTCAGGAGGGGCGGGGGCACCGGGGGCTGGCAGCCCCGGAGTTCGGGGGCTGGGGCATGAGCTGTGGTGGGGGAGGGGAACTGGATTTCAGGGAGCCCCGGGGTAGGGGGGGGGTCTTGCCTGCTGGCCAGGGGCTAGGGCCCGCGGCGGGGGAGTGGGGTGGGGGGGTAGGAGGCGGCAGCGGCCGAGGGAGCCGTGGAGCCGAGGAGGGAAGGGGAGAGAGGAGGAGAGAGGAAGCAGGGGGAGGGAGGGAGGGAGCGAGGAGCGAGGATGGAGGGGTGCCTTGGCAGAGTTAACTGCTTCGGTGCCGGCAGGAACCCGGATAATGGGAGAGGAGAGCAGAGCGGAGGCAGACAGGCCCCGAGGCAAAGATGGAGGCCTGGCCAGGCACCAGCGCCAGAGATCAGGAGGCCTCCTGGGTCTCAGGAGAGGAAGCACCCGCTGTGGGGCTGGCAGTACCCATGCTAGTTGCAGTGCTGGCTGGCGGGAGGGGGGGGTTTGGGGGGGCAGGCAGGGGGGACTCCGGGGGGGGGCAGCTTTCCCTCAGGCTGCACAGGAGGAATGATTAGAAGTAATTCTGTGCTGGACTCCTTATGCCCGAAATTGGGGCCAAGGGAGGAGGGGGGCGGGGAAGCAGAAGGGGAAAGGGACCAACAGGACCGAGGAGTCTGGGATTCTCTGCACCCCGGGCTCAGAAGTCTGTCTTCAAGGCCCCCAAGTGTGGGGCGGCAGCTGGGCCCCTGCCCTGCCTGCCCCTCTGGGGAGGTGCCCCACCTCACCCCCTTACCTGGCTCTCCGAGATGGAAGCCTCATAATAGTCCAGGATATCTGTCACCAGAATACAGCTGAGTTACCCTCCCCCACCCCACCTGGGGGGGCTCCCCTGCCCTGACTGCTGCTGGCACCCCAGGGCCTCCTGGCTGCCAACCCAACAGTCCCCCAAGTGTGTTCACTGCCCTGGCAGGCCCAGGCCAGCTCTTTGCACCCCAGCCTCCCCAGAGAATCAGGGCTACTCACCCAGCAGGGCCTGGAAGAGGTCACTGTGCAGAACAGCCAAGAGAGGGGGCGCCCATCGCAACAGTGGGGGGGCCAGGAGCCAGAGGGCTGACCGGGGAGCTGGTGAAATGCAAGTGAGGGAGGAATGGGACAGGGAAGAGACCCATGGACCAAGGCGCGGCTCACTCGCCTCCCCTAGCCTGTCCCCTCTCCCTGGGCTTAAGTGGGGTGGGGAAGGATCAGCACGAGGGTCCTCAAGTCCCAGCCCCACTCGGCTCCGCCCCCAGGCCTTTCCTCCACAGGACTCTCCAGTTTCACCTCTGGGTCTCTCGGACATCTCTTCTCTCTGATTTTAATCTCTCTAATCCCCAGGGTTGGAGCTGAGCTGCCTCCCCACCAGGTTCCAGCCTTTAGCCTTTAGCCACCGAAGTGGGCAGTCCTGTCCTAACCCCCTGGGTCGCCTGGCACAATGGTCTCTCTTCCCAAAGCCAGGGGTGAGTTTGCTGCACTTTCCAGAGGGACTGGGCACTGGGGACGGGGGTGGGGGTGGGGGGTGTCCCCAAGGAGGCTCCTGCAGCCCCAGCCCAGGCCTCTCCCCACTGGGTGTGTCCGCAGGGCAGGGGTATACATGACCTATACATGACCTGGGACTCCTTGACCCAAGGCTAGGGAAGTAGGTGTGTGTGGCGAGAGTGGGCGGCAGGAGAGTCCCTACAGTTCCACTCCCCCTGGGAAGAGTCCAGGATGTCACACAGTCTCAGGAGGAAACACGGGCAGAGAAAGAGACACCTGCTGGGGAAGGTCTCCAGCGCCCCGATGGGGAGGCAGTGAATTTGCAGAGGGGAAGGGAGGGGAGGGCCCTACGGTGAGAATTCAGGTGTTTCTTAAAGTTAATGACACCTCAGGTCTCAGGAGAATATGCCTGGGCCGCCCCACGCCACCATGTCCCTCCCTCTGTGTTGATGGAGATGGGTTTCACAAGGGACTCCATAGAGTCGTCTGCCCCTGCTTCTGCCGTCTTACATTTTTTTTCTCCCACCTCTCCCTTCCAGCTCCACCGGGGAAGTCCTCCTGTTGGCCCACCCTCCATCCCTCCGGCTGCAAAAGCCTGAGCTCCTCCTCCTTCCGCCCCAGCCTATCCCATCGCCCCTTCCGAGGGCTACACTCGAGTTCGGCCTGGTGGGACGAAGGCGTTTGGGAGAGACGGGAACGTCTGGAGATAGCCCTAGGTTAACCAGAATGCAGGGGCGGGGGAACTACATCCGGAACTACATCTCCCAGCATGCGCTGGCGGCCGGAAGCCCAGCCCCCCCCGGTGCATTGTGGACGATGAGTCAAGACCGGACCAGGGCAGCCAGACTTTGGCAGACGGGTGGACGGCGCTAGATCTGCGCTCGGGTCCGCGGCGGCCGGAGTGGTTGGGAGATGCAGGCGGCACGGATGACCCCGAGCGTGGGGCGGCAGCTGCGGAGGCTGGGGGTCGGAAGGTGCGAGTCAGACAGGAGGGCAGGGCCGGGGTGGCAGCGGGACCGGGGACCCGGACTGAGCCCCCGCTCCCCACAGCTCGTGGCCCAGCACGCTCCTGGGGCAGCCCCCGCCCGGTCCGGCCCGCCGACCCTATGCCAGTGGGGCCGCTCAGGTGAGTGACGGCGGCCCGGGGCGCGCGGAGCGGGAGGGGGAGTCCGCCTCGGTTCCCCCTTCCCTGCCGCCGGCAGGGGTCTCCCTCTCCGTCTCGGACACCTGGCGCCCGCGGTGGCGCCGAAAGTAGGGGAAAGGGCAGGCCAGGGTGCCCTGATGATGGAAGTAGGGGAAAGGTCGCTGCGTCCGCGTCCGCCTCCGCCTGCACCCAGAGCTTCCCCTGGGGTCTCCAGCCCCTCGGGAGCCCCTTACCGGGCCTCGCTAACTGTCCCTTTCCCCAGGCGGTTCTGGAGAAGTCAGATTCCCAGTCCTCTGAGGCTCCGACCAGGGAGAAGCAGGCCAAGGCGGTACGTGGCCTCCATACCGGGAGGACCTAGGCCAGGGGCTCACCCACTGCAGCAGACAGCTCGCTGAAACCCCCTTCTCCCTGCGCAGGAATCCAAGTCCTTTGCTGCGGGGATGTTCAAGGGTCAGCTCACCACCGATCAGGTGTTCCCTTACCCATCTGGTAAGTAGTCGTCGGGGTGGGGCAGGGCAGGGCCTCTCCACTTCCCCAGTGACCTGACCAGCCTGTCCTCCCCCACAGTACTCAGTGAGGAGCAGACCCAGTTTCTCAAAGAACTGGTGGGGCCTGTGTCCCGTTTCTTTGAGGTGAGGAAGGACTGGGGTGGGGGAACAGAGGGCTTCGGTCCCTGATGGGATGGCAGAGGTGTTCAGCAGCCTAAAAAGCCTGGATGCGACATCCTGTGCCTTCTCCAGGAAGTGAACGATCCTGCCAAGAATGACACGTTGGAGAAGGTGGAGGAGACCACCCTGCAAGGCCTCAAGGAGCTGGGGGCCTTTGGTCTGCAAGTACCCAGCGAGCTGGGTGGTGTGGGCCTCTGCAACACCCAGGTGAGGGAGCCCTGGTCACTGCCGGCATCGCAGGCTATTCCAACATTGCTGATTAAGCGCCTTCCTCATGGGACCTAGTGTTTAGGTTTGTCAATTAAGGGGGGGTCTGTGTGATGTTGACTGTGCCAATATGTACATCTTTCAAAACAAAAAACATGGCTCTGTTCCCAGTACATAACACCTTTCCCAACAAAATACCAAACTATATGATATCCCTCCGGGCCACAGAATTCACCCAGGCTCACATGCCCTAATGGTAGATGGGAAGCCTCCAAACCAGGGTCCCACTCTACCATGGGAACATTCTCTCCAGTCACTATGTAGGGATGCCCCTATTTGGCCCTGTCAAGACCCCTCCCCCCACACACACAGTTAACCCGACACTGCTTTTCCCCCCAGTACGCCCGCTTGGTGGAGATTGTGGGCACACATGACCTTGGTGTGGGCATCACCCTGGGAGCCCATCAGAGCATCGGCTTCAAAGGCATCCTGCTCTTTGGCACAAAGGCCCAGAAAGAAAAATACCTCCCCAAACTGGCATCTGGTGAGGCGGCTCTTGGAGCCCCAGCAACTGGGGGTGTCCCGGGCTGGGTACAGATGCCACCACACAGGTGGGTGGCTCAGTACATGGGGGTTCTGGGAAGGAGTGAAGCTGAGCGTTTCCAGGAGCACTGAGGGAACGGCTGCAGGCAGGGTGCAGACAGCGAGGGGCCTCTGCCTATCAGCACCCAGTTTAAAGGCTCTCATCCACAGGGGAGAGCATAGCTGCTTTCTGTCTAACGGAGCCCTCCAGTGGGTCAGATGCAGCCTCCATCCGATCATCAGCTGTGCCCAGCCCCTGTGGAAAATACTATACCCTCAATGGAAGCAAGATCTGGATCAGGCAATCCCTCTACCCCCCCCCCCCCATACCACCCTGTCCTCCTCCTCCACCTCTTCCTAACTTCAGGTCCCCCCTGCTCTGTCTCCCGCACCCTGATAGCCCCTCGTTTTTCCATAGTAATGGGGGCCTGGCAGATGTCTTCACGGTCTTTGCCAAGACACCAGTTACAGATGCAGCCACGGGGGCTGTGAAGGAGAAGATCACAGCTTTTGTGGTGGAGAGGAGCTTTGGAGGTGTTACCCAGTGAGTGGGTTTGGGGAGGAAGCAAGCAGTGGAGCCAAGTGGGGGCAGCACTGAAGTCCAGGGCAGACGGTGTTACAGGTCACCCTGGGGATGCGTGCAAAACCCCAAGCAGCTGGATGGCTTGTTCGCTTTGGGATTAAACTGCATGGAACTAACATAAAGCTTTAGCTCCCACAAGCAGTGAGCCCAACATACAGTAGGACAGAAAACCAGGCATCTACCCTGTGAGCATGGAAGCCTGTTGCCTGCACCCTCTCCTATGCTGGCAGCTGCGATTCCTCCCTGGCTCCTAAGAAAGGTACCCCCCCCCCACCCCACCCTTGGCTACCTGTTGAGCACACCTCTGCTTCCCTGTCCTGCCCCGTCACAGCGGGCCCCCTGAGAAGAAGATGGGCATCAAAGCCTCCAACACGGCAGAGGTGTACTTTGACAGTGTGCGGGTGCCAGCAGAGAACGTGCTTGGGGAGGTGGGGAGTGGCTTCAAGGTCGCCATGCACATCCTCAACAACGGAAGGTTCGGCATGGCCGCAGCCCTTGCAGGCACCATGAGGGGCATCATTGCAAAGGCGGTAAGCATCTTCCCTTCCCCTGGCACCCAGCTCTCTGTGGGCCCATCCCTCTCAGCCCTGCCCCTTGGGGGGGGGGGGCTACAGAACCACAACGCAACACATGTGCCCTCTTCCAGGTGGATCATGCTGCTAATCGTACCCAGTTTGGGGAGAAAATTCACAACTTTGGGCTGATTCAAGAGAAGCTGGCCCGGATGGCGATGCTGCAGTATGTGACTGAGGTAAGGCTCTCCTCCCCTGCCCACCCCTCCCTGCCGTCTCCCCCGGTGGTTGGACTACAACCCCCAGCAGCACCTGGGGCAGTGGGTCTCCAGCTCCACACCAATGCCCTAGGGGATGCGGGGGGGCGCAGTCAGCTCGGGAAGCTGTGCCGATCTCCCAGACCCACTCAAACTTTATTCCACTTGCCCCCCACCCTTACTTCTTCACCCCTTTCAAACAAGTCACATGGCTACAAGCCCCCGCTGAACCATCTCCGGGGACCAGATATTTCACCAAGCCCAACAGGTGGAGCTAGAAGGTGAAGGCGAGGGGAGCTACGGCAGACTTGTTCCTGGGGGCTCTGAGCCATCAGGGCCAGTCTGATGCTGTCCTTTTCCTTCCTGTGTCCCCACCATGCGATCTCAGTCCATGGCTTACATGGTGAGCGCCAACATGGACCAGGGATCCACAGACTTCCAGATTGAGGCTGCCATCAGTAAAATCTTTGGCTCGGTGAGTTCTGGGCCTACAGGGCGGGAGAGCCCAGTGTGGAGCTTGGTTCCAGGACCCGTCTCACATGGTTCTCCGTCCCCAGGAGGCAGCCTGGAAGGTGACCGATGAGTGCATCCAGATATTGGGCGGCATGGGCTTCATGAAGGTACCAGGTGGCTCTCTGCCTGGGGTGGCCACGGTGGGGATGGCAGGGGCGAGTGGGCTTTTAGGGACGTGTGCTCTGGCTTCCCCCCACGGCAGGAGCCTGGAGTGGAGCGTGTTCTCCGAGATCTTCGCATTTTCCGGATCTTTGAGGGGACAAACGACATCCTCCGGCTGTTTGTGGCTCTGCAGGGCTGTATGGTAAGAGGAAACTGGGGCCCAGGTGGGGACAAAAGCACGCCCTGACGGTTGGGCCCTCTTCCCACACAGGACAAAGGAAAGGAACTTTCTGGACTGGGCAATGCCCTCAAGAATCCCTTCGGGAATGCTGGTCTCCTGCTAGGAGAGGCAGGCAAACAGCTGAGGAGGTAAGCTCTGAGCCCAGGGTGGGGCAGGGTGGGCTGGGGCAGGGTGCAGCCACTAACCAGTCACTCTCCCCCTTCTGTGAAGGCGGGCAGGGCTGGGCAGCGGCCTGAGTCTCAGCGGCATCATCCACCAGGAGCTGAACCGGAGCGGCGAGCTGGTAAGCCAGCAGGTGGGCGGCCAGCAGCCTGCATCGGGCAGGGGCTGGTGCGGCTGGGCCACCTGAGCCCTGGGCGCCTGCCCTCTTTGTGCAGACTGTGCAGGCTCTGGAGCAGTTTGCCACTGTGGTGGAAGCCAAGCTGATAAAACACAAGAAGGGGATTGTCAGTGAGTGAGCCCTACCCCATCCCCACCCGGCTTCCATTCCTTCCCTCCTTCCCTTCCCGGCTGTCACCATCCCAACCCATCCCATCTACCTGACAGATGAACAGTTCGTGCTGCAGCGCCTAGCAGACAGTGCTATTGACCTCTACGCCATGGTGGTAGTTCTGTCCAGGTGAGGCAGCAGCGTGGAAGGTGGCCGGGGGGGGGGGGTGGGGTGGCGGGGGGTGGGGGGAGTTCCCAGGCCAGGCTCAGGGAGGTTCATGTTCCCTTCCTGCCTCGCACCAGGGCCTCCAGATCCCTGAGTGAGGGCCACCCTACAGCCCAGCATGAGAAGATGCTCTGTGACAGCTGGTGTATCGAGGTGAGGTTTGGGGTTACCCAGGGCAGGTATGCGGCTCAGGGCAGGCGTGCGCCAGCCTGAACACCTCCTTCTCTGTCCCCAGGCCGCAGCCCGGGTCCGGGAGACCATGGCCGCTCTGCAGTCTGACCGGCAGCAACAGGAGCTCTTCCGGAACTTCAAAAGCATCTCTAAGGCCTTGGTAGAGCGAGGTGGCATGGTCACCAGCAACCCCCTCGGCTTCTGAGTGCTCCCCACTGGGGCCTGGCCAGGCCTGTACCTTCTATCTCCAGCCCAGCCTGGCCCCGATTCTGCCTTAAAGAGGCCCTGGCCCCGGGGCGCTGCTGCTCTCGGAGGCCCACTTACAGCCTCTCAAGTAAAGGTTCTCACAAGCCACACTCTGCTCTCCTCTCGTCTTTCCCTCGCTGCCTGCCTCCCTCCCAAAGAAAGGAGCCAGAGGCGGGGGGAGTTTGCCCCTATTGCTTTATTTGGTTTTATACAAGTGACTAAATAAATAGAGTAACAAAAGCAGCTACGTGGGCCCCCAAGACCAAACACCCCAGCTTCCTCTGACTGCCGGCTAGGGTGCCCAGCCCCTTCCTCCTCCCAAGGTACCACTGACCACCCCCCACCCCGCGCAGGGCACAACTGACAGGGCAAACAGAGTGGGAGATCACATTCAGGGGCTAGAAGAAAGGGCCCAGGAGACAAAGATTCTTCATATAAAAGTGGAAATATCTACTAAAAAAATAGTCCAAAAAATGTATGAAAGTCTATTTCAAACCCCCCAGAAGTCTTACAAAAACGGTAAAGCTAAAAATAACCAAGGTCCCTTGTACACCCCCGAGGAAAAGGGGAGGAACCAGGCACTGCTGGTGAGAGTCACAGTGGCAAAGACCCCAGCGGGTGGCTAAGCCCAGGCCCTAGAGGCGTGATGGGCAGGTGACCGATGAGACACCCAGTCATAGGACAGAAGCACCAAGGGCGGACTGGATGGGCCGAGGGAGGAAACTCAACGCGGCCCCGCTGCGCGCCCTACATAACATCCACAAAGAACTCACTGGGGTTGCCCATGGCCATGTGGAAGCTTTGGCGGCTAGCTGTCAGTTCTGGGGGCACAGAGCCCAGGTCTCTGACAGGAGGGGCCCCTGGGGGCTGCACTGCTGGTGGGACAGGGGGTGGAGGGGGGGGCATCATGACCACCATCATAGGATTATAGGGGAGGGCCATCCCCGGGGGTGGCCCATAGGGATGGAGCCCAGGGTGGGCTCGGAGATTGGGGACACCCCCTGACGAGCCTCTGGAAGGGGGAGGGCCCCCATCACCAGCCCCACCCGGCTCCCCGCCCCGCCGAAGGCTGCCCCCACGGCTGGAGGGCTCAGACTCACTGCCGCTGCCGGACTTGGACTCAGGGGCCCTTTCCTCGGGCCTCCCTGTACGGCCTGCCCCCCCATCGCTTCGTGTTGACCCACTGCTCCGGCTCCCTGTGAAGGTGGAGGGGATGGAGCCGCCTGAGCCCTGGCCCAGTGTCCCTCGGCCTTCCCAGTCCCCTGGGCTGTCCCCACCACCAGCGCTACCCGCTGTCAGACCATGACTTACCCTCGCTGTGCTGGCTGCTGGCACTGCCGCCACCATAGGTGTAGGATGACAGCTCGTGGTAGGGGGGCGGCTGCGGGCTGTATGGGTGTGGAGTTGGGTACTGGTAGGAGAAGGTGGGCAGCAGAGGCCAGGGGGTCGCCCCAGGCAGAGGAGCCAAGGTGTCCTGGTCTGAAGCCCCACTGGAGCCATCGTTGTCATTCAGAGACAGGTTGACCAGGTCTGGAAAGCAAGAGAGGAGATGGAGAGTCGCTGCTTCAAGAGGCTGGGATGTCAGGCATCGCAGAGAAGCTGATTCCCTGAACCATGCATGATGGAGGTGAAGACAAGGGCCTCTGACAGGACACTCCTCCTGTACCACTGCCATTGCTCCCAGGGCCACAAGTACCCCATGCTCTCGTGAAACTCCAGAGAAGACAGCACCCCCCCTCTGCCCGGGTACCCCCAGCCCCGCACCCAGGGCCAGCCTGGCCACAAAACACAGGAGGATGTTGTTGGCCAGGGCAGGTCCCAACGCAGGACACACACTGCTTAACAGTGGCCCTGGCTGGCTACTGGAGGTGGAACAAGGCAGCGGGGACACACAGACTCACAGCTCTCACAGCCGCCACTGAGGTCTCCGAAGACGTAATAGCACTGCTCGGAAAACGTGATCTTGTTCACAGTGTGGCGGATGAGGCCCGCCTTGAGCAGCCCGCTGGCATACTTGCGGGCCTCCCGCCGCTCAGGAAAGCCCTCCACGTGATGGTAGAGCCAGTCGACCACGTCCGAGCCTGAGATCAGAGAGCACTCAGGTTCTCCTCTCCAGCTCCTGCCTCACCCCTGCCCACCACTGCCACCTCATCTTCATGCCACCTGCCTGGGGCCCACCCATACCCAGAAAGGCGTTAGGGATGGTGATCTTGAGCCACATGCGGTCTCGAACTTCCAGTCCAGACTCCGGAGCTGCCATGGCCTTGGTGACAGATGCCATGTCCGTATGGATGGACAGACCCCGGCCCTCACAGCCTATCGGAGAAGAAATAAGGAGTAGAGATGGGGCCACACACTGCTGAAAGGCCTCCCAGGGAGGGGAGGGTGAGGTAGGCTGGGGGCTCACCCTCGGGCAGAGAAGACCCGGATGTCATGGTGCTCATGGAAGAGGAGCCCGGGTAGGTGGGGAAGGTGCCAGTCAGTGCAGCCGAGTGAGACACCCAGGCAGCTGGGTCGATCGGCTGGATGGGCTCATCTGGGACAGAGAAGGTCCCCACAATGATCGTTTCCCTGCCACTCCCCAACTGAGACCCCCGACCCCCATCCCACCTCTGCCCTGACCCTCCTCCACCCCTTCAGCACTCACTTCGAGGAAGAGTGAAATAGGCCTGGGGAGACGGATCCCAGCACTTGGCCACAGTCAGCACAATGGGGCTGTGGGGACGGGGAGAAGCAGTCAGGCAGGGGAGGGGGGGATGGGGTGAGGCTTTGGAAGGGTGGAGGATGGACAGAGACACAGACGGACCAGGCTGGAGAGCTGAGCCTGGAGGCATCAGTGAAGGTGACCCACCGACACAGACAACACTAGAAATGAGGCTGAAACACAGAACCACACACACTCTATGTATGGGTCCATGCAGAGCCAGTCCAAGTCAGAGAAGCTGAGCCCGCTGATCGAGGATGGGGACGGACACATGCACATGGACACACACACAAGGGGAGGGGAGACAAAGCAGTGCAGTGGTGACAGATGACAAAGGACGCCAGGGCAGTGCTCCCTGCCAGGGAGACTGGGGAGGGGACTGCAGACTCTGGAGCACAACCCCCCAGCTCACGATCAGGTGGGGGTCATGCGGGCCATCCTCTGCCCCACGGTGATGTCACGTTATGGCTCAGCTCCTCTGGACATGCACCACCACGCCCATGCTAAGGGTGAAGCCACGGGCACCAGTAGAGCAGACGAGAGGTGGCTCACCCCGGCTTGTGCACGATGTCCCGCAGCACCCGCACTGCATCATCGTTGCTCATGTTCTCGAAATTCATGTCGTTGACCTGGAAGCCAGGTTGGCAGGTGAGTGTGGGTGAGAGCTGGTGAGACGCATCTGCCCCCCAGATCCCCCACAGGGCACCTGCAGCAGCATGTCACCCGGCTCGATGCGCCCATCGGCTGCCACCGCACCGCCCTTCATGATGGAGCCAATGTAGATGCCGCCGTCGCCCCGCTCGTTGCTCTGGCCCACAATGGAGATGCCCAGGAAGTTGTACTTCTCTGCAGAGCAGGCGCCCATGACGAGGAAGCCAGCCAGGGTTCCCCGGGGCCCCCCCCCGGACCCCCAACTGGGGCCCCCTCATACCCATGTTGAGTGTGACCGTGATGATGTTGAGAGACATGGTGGAGTCAGTGACGCTGCTGAAGGACGACGCCTAGTGGGGAGACAGGGAAGGCTTGGGTTGCCTCCAATGACCCCAGATTCTCACTTTCTGGGCCCACATACCCCTGAGACCAAGACCCCCTACTCCTACAAGATGTGGCCATCCCGTGAGCTCCCCTCACCCTCTCCAGGCGGGGTGGCCGCTGTTTCCTCCGCCGCCGGTGGCGCTTGAGGAGGCGAGAGGCACTGCTCTGCTCCGTGGAGCTGCTGAATCTGTCCGGAGGAGAGGTAGGGGAGTGCTGGCTGGCAGAGCAGGTGGGGGGGGGGGGGAGGCAGAGACCAGCTTGGGCCTGGAGGACATCAGCCGGTGGAGCTGGGAAGTGCAGGGCTGGGTGCCACACCTGCTCATGGTGTCATCCTCATCGGAGTCCCCCAGGCTAGTGCTCTCCAGCTCGCTGGTCATAAGGGTTGAGGAGCTCTCATACCCGGCCAGGTGGCGCTCCAGCCTCGAGGGTCCACCAGGCCTGTGGCCCCCTGCTGTGAAAAACCAGAACCGTCGGGGACCTGACCTCAGGCTGCCTCCCCCATCACAAGGGGGCCTGAGCCCAGCCCCCAGCTCCTGGGCTCCTGGGCCCCCCTCACCACCGTGCTCACTGCTGTCTCTCCTACGAGGCCGTTCCCGCCGCAGGGACACCACCGACTCGGTTTCCGTCTCAGGCTCCAGGTTCTCCCGGCTGCTGGACACGTTAGGGCTGGGTGGATAGAGATGGCATGCAACCCCGTCAGGGGGACGGGGCTCCGTGTCCTCAACCTCCCCCTGCCCAGGGGCTGGGGTCTCCTCCTTGCCTCCCTCCCCCGGACTAAAGAATCCCAGAGACTCACTGGAAGGACGGAGGCCTAGAGTCCCCGATGCCGCTGGTCCTCTCCGGTGGCAGGGGGGGTAGCGGTGGGGGGGGCGGTGCCAGCTCTGCCCGGGGCTCGTGGGCTGGGGGAGCCATCTCGGGTTGGGGGTTCTCTGACGACACCAGCTGGAAAGATGCAATGACAAAAACTGACTCAAACAAGGAGGGAGGCATCCGAGGTGGGAAGACAGGGAGAAGACAGGGTCTGAGCAAGCACGTGGCCTGCAAAAAACACAGGGAAAGCAGGAGGGAGCGGTAGATGCTCCAGAAGGCTGAGGAGCTACAGCTGGCTCCCCAAGCAGGTGGAGTGGTGAGGACCCAGACTGACAGGACCCTGGCGATGCGGGATGGACAGGGCTGCTTACCCAGGACACCACCCTCCCGTTGAAGCAGGGAAGGTGGGCGTTGTCATCTGAAATCTCCTCCTTCACCACCCTGCCAGGAGGGACAACACAAGAACCAGTGAGATCGGCCTAGCGCCCCCCACATGCACCCCGACTCGAGGCTTCTCATCTTCGTCCAGCTCGAGGACGATGACTTTCGTGCAGCCCGGCCAGGCCCTCTTCCCCAACACCGAGACACTTCACTCTCATGCCCCAGGAGTCTCCAAATTCACTCACCCCCTTTCCTTCCTCCTCCTCCTCCTCTCCCCAGCTCATCCTCGGCTTTCAATGCTGGTCCAAAGATTTCCCAGAGTCTGTGTCAAACCTCATTCTCTAATCTCAACGACCGTCGCACTCCCTCAGGTGACCCCAGCTGCCCCAAAGATCTCTAACCTTTGGGGTCTCTAACAGCCCAGAATGACCCCAAACCTCCCTGAGCCCTACCCCGCTCCTCAAGGCGCCGTCCCCAAACCCTCTGAAGTCTCTATTCTCATGCTTTCTTGGTTTTCTCTAAGTCACGTCCAAAGCCCTAGCCCAACATGCTACCTTTCCCCCATGAAAATATACCCATGAGACCCAAGGATGAGACCTCCTCGCTAGGCTGAGCACTCCCAAGGAGAGGTGAAGCCCACCTTCCCCTTCCCCCGGGGCTCATCTGGCACAAAATTCTACACTGAGCAACCTGTTCTGCCTGACGGACCTCAAAGCCTAGCCTTGGGGTCATTCCTCCCCTGGGTTCCTTGGGATGGACAGGACTTTGCCCCTTCTTCTCAACCACCATGTGGGATCACCACAGCCTATTCTGTTCAACACCGCATCCTGGTCACACAGCAAAGACCCTGATGGTGGTGAGGTGAATGTTAATAAATATCTGTTGAATACTGTTAACGAGTATACTTGTTGAACAAGTATCTCATGAATAAACACGAACTGTGAGACTCTGAGCATTGAACAGAAAATCTCTCTCATACTCTCACATCCTCACCTCCAAATTAGGACAGCCTGTCTGATTAACCCTTTACCCTAATATGGTTCTAGGAGCCTGGATGCGTGACAACTTAATCCCACTTGTTATCGATAGGGCCACTCAGCCCAATCCCTACCACTGCTCTGTCTCGATATAACGCTGGATTCTTAGAGATGTAACCCAGTCTTGGCGGAGCCAAGCCCGGCAAATGATTCCACTCTCTATCACCATAACCCCATTTACAGATTAGCTGAGCTCAACGCTAGCGATCATCACAACTCGCAAAAAAATTACTGTGCATCACTTACCTATACGAAGTTTCTTCCACCAACTGTGTCTATCTCCTGGGTCACATCATTGCTAACAAACAGGAATTTCGATCTAAATCAAAGGTAACTCCCAACACAGTCCCACCTTCCTCACGTTCAACGGTCTTTCTCAGTAGAAGCCAGTCCATTCAGCTATCCCAGAACATGAGCTGTCTCAGGCCAATCCACCCTGCCTTCAAGAGCTGAGGCTGGCTACCTGGAGAGCTCAGCCTCAAAAACCATAAGCAAATTTATTATTAAGAATCTAAGTCTGGCCCAGAATGACCCCAAACACTCCAGAATAGCCATATTGGGCTATTTTAGCAATGACCTACAACGTCTCCACACGCAGCCGTCCATACCAATACAGACCAGATTATCCCAATACAGCTGTCTGCACTGGCATAGCCTCAAAAACCCTGTCTGCCTCTCTACAGAGCGTCCCCATGAAACACTTGACCCCAACAGAAACTTAAGATCAACCAACACAACCTAGAAGAGACAGAACAGCAGAAATTCTTCCGAGAGAGCCTGGTAATCTGCTCCAAAGCAGCCTAGAACATCCCAACACACCCTTTTCTGCACCAGAACAGGCCAGATGTCCCCAAACAATCTTATCTGCTCTAGGATGGTCTGGAATGCCCTAAAGCACCCCAACACGGCCCAATCATCGAGATTCCACAATACTGCCCGTGGGCTGCAGGTCTGCTCGGAAGGCATCGGATTACCCAGAATAACTCCCAAATAAACCATTGTGCCCCATTCTATTCCAGAACAGCCTAATCTTTCCTGATCTGGTTCGGCACGGCCCGGTGTGTCGTCCTGGAGCTCCGTGCGCCCCGATTTGTCCAAGCATAACCTTACCCAACCTGGGATGCCCAATCTAACCCCCGCATAATGCCCTGTCCAGCACTCCAGCCCAGGAAAACCCAGCGTGGCCTAAGGCCGACCTGTGCCCCTCAGCAGTGGCCGATCCACCGCCGCGCAGCCCCCACCGGTTCCAGCCTAGGCCTCGCGCTCACCCGAAATCCTGATCCATAGACTTGAAAAAGTACTTAGCGCCCGCGGGCCGCTGCAGGACGCTCTTGAAGTCACCGAGGGTGATGCGTTCGGCCGGAACAGGGATCTTCACCAGGTAGGGAGTCTCCTCCTCATCCAGGTGGTAAATCACCTTCGTCTCCCCGACGCCGCCGCCCCCCGCGCCGCTGCCCGCCATGGTCTCGCCCGCGCGCTCCCGGGTCCCGCCGCCCACCCAACCCGGCGAAGTGCCCCCACCGCGCCTGCGCACACCCGCACCCCGCCGCGCGAGCGCGGACACGATCGGCCGGGCGCCGGAAAGGCGCGGAGGGAAGGCGAAGGGGATCAGCGGGGTGGCGGCCGACGGAAGGGAAGGGGGCGGGCCGGAGGGCTCAACCCGATGCCGCAGACTCGGCCGCCGTCGCCGCCGCCACCGCGCGCCACCGCCGCCGACGTCGCGGGCGCCCTGCGGCACCCCGCCCACCTCTCCCCATGTCACGTGGCCCGCGGCGGCCCGCCCTCCGTCACGTGACTCCTCCGACCACGTGACCTACAGGCCCCGCCCAGTGCCATCGCCACGTGATCGTTGCTTTCAGCAACGGTCTCCTAGCCCTCGACGGCCCCGCCCCCAAATGTGTCCCCACCCGCGTCCTCTGAGCACCCCGGCGGAGGCCGGCACTGGCCTTCGGGGGGCCTGGCCACTGGTACCCATCCCGTTTGGCCCCACTCGGGCGGAGAGCTCCAAACAACGTTGATTCCCTGGAGCGTGCGTGTTGGGAGATAGGATGGGGGTCCTGGGCTGGGGTGCCCGGTGGAAGCAAGCTGACTGAGGGCCAGGCTGGGGGCGGGGGTCTGGGGAGCTGGGGGGTGGGGGCGCCCAGAGCCGGGTGGTTTTCTGCTCTGGAGGTGGGCTTCAGCCCCCCCCACCCCCCCACACCTTCTGCTTTTCCACCGCGCCCCCACCCAAGCAGGACAGTCAGGGAGGGCTATAAACACAAAAGAGCCCACTCTGCTTTATTTACAATACGCAGGCTGTCTGTACAAACAGCTGGCCAATATTATTAAAAACAAAAGAGGTGAGCGAACATATCGTCACCTGTTTTCCTTCCTCCCTTGGCCAGACCCTGGTTGGTACTCCACCTCCGAGCTGCCCTGCCCAAAAGGGGAAGTCCAAAATTAAAAATACAACCGGTGTAGAATAAATGGGGAGATAAAAGAAAAGATGAAGAAGGGGAGTGCTCTATTTACACTAGAGTTTTATAGCCAGCTGTCCCATTCCACCCCAATTCCAACCCTGGCCCAGAAAGCGAAGGGTGGCAGGTCTAGGGGACAGAAATTATGTGTCTAGGGACCAGCCTCTCACCCCCAACTGCAGCAGGTCCATATTCAAGTCCACAAGGAGGGAAGGAAAGATAAGGTTGGAAGGTGAGACACTCCTTTCCAAACCAGCCTCCAGTGGGAATTCCTGCCTCGAGTGGGACAATACCCAAGCTCCAGGGGGACGGGCCGAAGACCCGGAGGCTCAGCTCCCAAGTCATGCTGTCACAGGGAGTCCCAGCCTAGGCACGGCGATGTCAGGGCTCTCCAGACTTGGGAGTACCCCCTAACCGCCGGGCCTCTGGCCGCAGTTCCTTGCATTTCTGGCAGTAAAAGAAGTCAGGGACGTTGGTCTTCTTGATCTTAGCACAAGAGAGGTGGATCCACGTCCCACACAGGCTGCACTCAATCATGGGCCGCCCTGCAAAGGGCTTTCGGCAGTAGCATGTGATCAGGTCCCATGAGTCATCACCTGGGGAGAGAAGGTTTGCTTGGTGTTGAGTTGTCTGCAACAGCCCCAGGCCCACCCTCCAAGCCAAGCCTGGGTGGCCCCAAACCTCACCTGATTCTACCATGATGTCCTCATCCATGACCCGCATTTCGCCTTCACTGGAGCTGGCATCACCATCCTGGCTCGTTTCAGTGCTGCCCACTTCCTTGCTTTCGCCGTCGGTGGGAGGGGCTCCTTCGGGGTGCACTGTGGCTGGAGGCCTAGAAGCCTCAGGGGGTGTTGGCAGCACGGGGGCTGGGGCTTCCCCCCCTACCATGGCTACCATGTCTTCCTCTTCTTCCTCTTCCTCCTCTTCCTCCTCCTCTTCAGAGTCTGTGTCACTGGGGGGTGCCCGGGGAGGCCCAGGAGGTGGGAGTCTATCTCCTCGGTCTGCCTTTTTCAACTTCCGTTTCTTGCTCTTCTTAATTCGAGACCTCTTTTCCCCGTCCCCAGGAGCTGGCCGAGGCCTCCTAAGCACCCCAAAGCCAGCCCCCCCTCCTGGCCCCAACTTTCGGTTCTTCCGGTCCTTCTTTCGAGGGGGCTGTGAGAGGTCTCCCTGGGCAAGGGGTACTGGGGTGAGAGCAGCAGGGGGTCGGGAGGCGTGTGTCAGGGAGGTGGGGGACAGTGGGGACGCCACTTTGGGACCATCTAGATCAAAGAGAGAGTCCTTGAGCTTCATCTTCTCGAGCAGAGTTGCACTGTCAGGGGCCTGCAGACGAGAGAAAGTGGACCTTGGGGGTCCTGGCTGAGTGGGACCCCCCTGAGCTGCCCTCCTCTTGGATGACTTTGCTTTCTTCACAAACGTCTGGATGGTTCGGAGATCTGAAGGGGCTGAGTCCCAGCCATCACTGTCTGCTGCACTCTCACCGCGCAATGGAGAGCTGGAGCCAGAGGCTGGCCAGTCACTTTCCTTGAAGGGGGTGGCAGGGAGATCAGCGTCAGCAAGCCGCCCAGTGGCATCTCATCCCATCTACAAACCCAGCTTAAAAACCAGGGTCAAGACTGACCCCAAAATATCCTGCCCAAGCCACCCAAGATCACTATACTCATAATTGTCCCCCCCCCCCAATTCCCCTTAGCATCTCCTCTTGGCAATGTCTACGTTACCTCTGCCCTCACATCCTGGCTGTCTCCCCAGTACCCCCTGCCTGACAGCACTGTCTCCCTAGACCAGAGCCCTCTTTCTTTACCGGCTTTCCTAAAGTCCCATTTGTGAACCACTTTCAGCTTTCTCAAAGGCATGAAAAGGCTCTTCCATGATCACGCCCTATCCCTAGACCATTCACTGCTACTCAACCTACCTAATTAATACCACCCCCTAGGGCATTTTTCCCACCAGCTACCCGGTTTCACTTGTGGTAGATTTCTCCTATCAAGGAAAGCAGTCCCCGTTGCTTCGCACCCTTCCAAGGTCCTAGCACACCACCCCTCAGCTTGTTGTCCCCCAGTCCCTACCTCTTTACTAGGGGGGATGTAACCGGCATAAGCCAAGACAAAACTGCAGAATTTGTTGAAATCTTCAATTGTTCTCCGACGTTTCTCTGGAGGCTGAAAGGAAGGAAACCTGTATCACAAGGAATTTAAAAGGGACCTTCCGAAGAAGGCACAGTCCCTGTGGTAAGCGATCTAGAACCAGCAGGAGGAGGAGGAGGAAGAGGGAGGGAGGGCCACCGACAGAAATACCGGCCAGCAAAGGTAAAGGAAAGCTCACCTGAGTTTCTGGCTTCAGGGTCGGAGGTGGATCTGGGAAAGCAATAAAAGCTGAGTCAAGGCACCAGCAGAGTCCGTGCGAAGACCCAGCTCTAAATCTCCAAAGTCCCAAGCGAACCGAACCCCCTCTCGCCTCCGGTCCCCCCGCCAGGCCGGCAGGTCCCCAGCTGTGCTGGACTCGCCCCTGCTCCCCCTTCCGCCCTGCGAGGGGCGGAGTCAGGGCGCGGCGCCCTCCCAGGCCTCGCTATAGCGCTCCCCTTCCCCCCACCGGAGGCCTGGCGCCCCGCCCCCCCAACTCACGGTTTCTCTCGACTCCACAGTCTACTCGATCTCTTGGCGCCCCACCCCGCCATACCGCTCCCCGGACCGAGCCCCGGCCGCCGCCTGCCCTGCCCTTCCCACGCGCCCAGCGCCTCGCGCCCCCGCCGGGCTGCGATCCGCCGCCCGGGGCCCTCGGAGCCCGCACACGCAGCCCGCCGGCCCCCAGGGTCCAGGATGACCACGCCGAACCGCTCCCCGCCCTCCGGCCCCTTCTGCCCGAGCACGAGGCCCGGCGTGCCCCTCACCTCCCCCTCCAACACACACAGGCACACACATCCAACGCCACTCTGCGGCCGGGACGGACCGGAGAGCTCTGGCTCGGACGGCCCCACCTGCCCCCTCCGACCGCGCTCCCCACAATTTCGCCGTCCCTCCGCCCCCATCCGGGGCTTTGGCCCCTCCCCGTCTCGAGCTCCTCGGGCTCCCCGCCGGGCCCCCGGGCCCAATTCCTAGCCCTCCGGCCGCCGCCCCCCCTCCGCCCCCGTACTCACCACCAAGTGACTAGGCTGCGGACCCCTAAACTCTGGCCGCCCACTCTTCCCCCCCCCCCCGCTACTCTCTCCCTCCACGGCAACCCCCGCTGCTGCCGCCGCCGCTGCCCCCCTCACCCTCCGCAACTCTCAGGCTCCAGCCCTCGCCGACCAACACCCCCCCCAACTCGCCGGTCTGAACACCCCCCCCGCACCCCGCCCCACCGCCCCTACAACTACCCGGCTCTCCTCGCTTCCCGGCGTTCTGTCCCCACAACTACCCGCCCTGTCCAGGTCTCCCTAGCGAAGACAATACCCAGACCCCCTCTTCTCCCCACAACTCTCTGCCCAGCCCTCCAACAATCACCCGGCCACCTCCAGCGGCAACTACCCGGAGCTCCGACACCGCCGCCACAAACTCCCCCACCTCGGCCAACTACCGGGCTCCTCACTCAGTCCTCCTCTACATCCTCCCTCCTCAACAACTCTTGGGCTCCCGATACCCCCCCCAACCTCCCGGCCTCAGGGCCCCAACGTGCTGGAGGCCCTCTCGGCCCCTAACCCCCGGAGCTCCGGCTCCCACTCCCCACCCCCCCAACACACACATTCTCGGTGTCTCATATCCAACTACCCCCAGCCCGGTCTCCCACTTCTCTTTCACCAAGGTCTCTCAACTCGTCGCTCTCCCAGCTCCAGGGGCAGGCCCTCGACCCCCTCCCCGCGCTCCCCCGCCGGGTTTCGGGGCTCGACCTCCAAGTTTGTCAATTGATTCCTCGCCCGCCCCCACCCCCCACCGGCTCAGCGCTCCGTGCCGGTCGAGAGCTCACCTTCGGGACTGGGCTCCGCCATGGCTTCCAGCATCGCCCCCTCCCCTCCTCCCGGTCCGGCGCCCCCCTCCCCTTAAGCCGGGGATCCCGGTGCCGCCTCCGGTGCTCGGTGCTCCTACTGCCTCTCTCCACAGAGGTGTCTGCCTCGGCCCGGTAATGACTCGAGTCCGCTAGCCGCTGCCGCCACCTCCCTCTACCCCTGCCTCCCGCACTCCCGGACCGGGCCCCCTCCCCCCGCGCCGCCGGCCGCCTGCTCCCTCCTCCTCCTCCTCTCTCCTCTCTCCTCCCTCCTCCCTCCCCTCTACCCCCTCCCTTCGCGGGCGCCGACGCACAATGCATCATGGGGCTTGTAGTCTGTCCGGGGCCAGCGGAAAAGGGATCGCATAGGCCTCTGGAACTTCACTTCCCAGCAAGCCAAGGAACGGCGCAGGCGCACTAAACCGCTCCCCTCCCCCGGGGAGTGGCGGGGAGATTGGGAGCAGAGGGCAGAGCGGAAGAGCGCGCGCAGGCTCCTGGGAAATGTAGGCTGGGCGGGACTAAGAAAGAGGGAAAAGAAGGGATTAGAACTCTCGGCCACCATACTGCCTCATTCTGCGGCTTCTTTCTCCCCGGGGGACCGCCCCACTTCCGGCCAGGCGGAGAAATGCTTGCTGGGGGATGAAGTTCTCCTGATGATAATGGCTCCCTCCTCCCTCCCTTGAATTCCACCCACTGGCACCAAGTCTGGTCAAGTGAGATGCAACCCAGGACAGAGTCCTCTGACTGGCTCCCACGCACGAAAATCTCTTCTTTCATCCAAAAGCTGTAACAAACTTGGGTGCATTTATCTAAAGTGGATACTTACTTTCTCCCCAGGAACCCAAAGTAAAAAAAACAAAAGCCACTCTATTTTTTACATTGGGACCCAATACACACGTATATAAAAGTATGGTTTCATGACCCGATACTCGGGAGTATTCGATCACAACAAAAATACTTTTGCGCAAGCAGTAACCCAATATCAACAGAATAAACCAGAATGTAGGATTACTGCCCCTCCAACCTCCACTCTCCCCACCAGAGGACAACTAGGAAAAAAGGGGCAGGAAGCAACACAAAGTAAAATCCAGTTCAGGTTGGTGGTTTCCTCTTTATTGATGTGCCTCCTGCCTTCCCCCCAACAATTTCAGTCCCTTCCCTCTACCCCCAAAAATGAAGGTAATGAGAGGAAGGGAATGTTGGGGTTCTGAGCCCCTTGGGCAGTTAGGGAACAGAAACCAAAACAATCACCGGATGTGACAGAGACGGACAATCAAGAAGTCTAGAGCAGAGTGGGAAAGGTCTTCGAAGAGGAAGAGGAGAAAGGAGAGGTCCAAGAAGCCACCTCCCCCATGAGCCCTCCTGCTGAGAAGGGCTGGAGGAGAGCCTCAAACATTAGGAAGTGCAGGTCCCAACAAAGGGAGGTGAGGGATGAGCCCAAAGAAGGAGTAGGTCGAGGATGGGGGCCACCTCTGTCTTTGTAAAACAGGACCCCCCCAACATCAGGGGCAGCAGCTTCACAGACCGTAGACGCTTTCATCACTGTAGGCAATGTATAGAAAGAAGTCTTCTTCGTGGTGTTCCTGGGTGGAGGCAGAAAACTATGGCACTCAGAGGTCGGGGCTGTGGGCACGTGAACCACCCACTGCCCAGACACGTTTTTTGGAAAGCCCGTTCTTTCTGAAGACCCCCAAACACTAGTGGCCTGACTCATACTCACTCATTTGCTCCAGGCCTTAGCAGCCAACAAGATTACCCCTGGCAGCAGTCCTGGACAAAAAGATCTCAAACTGTTCCAAAATCTGCTGCCTTGGGATGGTGGGGAAAGTGGACAAGAGGGTGGATCCAAAGCACTGCTGTAGTTCTCCCTTCCATTCCCAATGTCTTTATCCAAGCCCTCAACCTGGGACTACCCTCAAAATTTTGAGGTCACACGTAAAACTGAGAGGCAGCCAGCTAGTCCAAGAACTGCTGACCTGAAAATCTCTTCCAACACCTCTGCAGAGCCCCTGACTCCTTCCCAGTCACCATACCTGGTATAGCTGACCCATTGTGGCACTGGTGGGTGGAATGACGTTGTTGACAAAGAAAAACAAGGCATCCTCAGCTCGGAGATGAATTCGCTTCCGGATCAAGAAGTAGAACTGACCAACTGCCAAAGAGACAAGATACGATAAAGTCACAGAGATCAAAAAAGGCCTCAGAAGAGCAGTCACTACGGGGAGGCAGCATCTTCCCACGGACACTGTACCCCCACGCACACGCAGCAAACTTGGGTCCTGGGTCAGGTTCCCACCTGTGAGATCAGAAGGCACCAGATATTTTTTTTTGTCCAGGTCTCCTATCCGAGCTTTGGGAGCCTTTTCTACTATCACCTAGAAAAAGAAAGACGGAAATTAGGAAGCATCGAGGGGGGGCAGTCCCACAGCCACCCCGTCGAGAACTCCAGGAACAAAACTGCTAGCACCCCAACCCATCCAACTCGTTTTTCTTTGTCTGGGAACACGCGGTGCAGTCTCAAGCAGAGACATCCTGACCCCGCAGCGTCAGGCTCACCTCGATATCCCGGATCCCCCGGCTGGGCGTCATAATAAACAAGGATCTTAATCAGGCAGGCATGGCTCGTGCGGGCCGACGACAGCGTCGGCCTCGACGAGCCGGCCAGCTGGGAGGTGGCCATGGGAAGCCCCGACTGTCAAACTCCCTGCAGCCTCCCCAGCACGCCCCACGTCTCCCTCGGCCAGCCGCGGCCCCCCACCCCCAGCTCCCTCGCCGCCCCGCTCCTTCCAACCTCCGCTCCCGGACACGGCAGCCCCTGGCCCGGTCCCCGGCCACCCCAGCCAGCAGCCCGATGCCCGCGCTGCCCCGCCGGACCCCAAGCCGGGCTGTGGCGTCAGAGCCAGCGCCCCGCGTCTGCGGCCCCGGCTACGGTTCTCACCGGAACCCGGTCCGGGTATTTCTTTCGGATCTTCTCGCCCTCAGAGCGGCGTTTCTCGAACGGATGCTCTTCTTTATACACGAACTTCATCCTCCCGGGAACCGGGCTGGACCGGGCTGGGCTGAGGGAACCCGGGGGGGGCCGGGACGGGGGGCGGCGGCGACGGCGGCGACGCGCGGGCGGACTCAGCGGAGCGATCCCGGGACTTGCGCCACTTCCCTATTCACCAACCCCGCCTCCGGCCGTCGGGGCCGCCCCGCCCGCTGGGTTACGCTACTAGCGTAACGGCCCTCACGCCGCCGGCGTAGCACCACCTACTGACCGCCCCCCTCACGCCGCCTGCGTAATCGCTTTGGAATCAGCTTGAGGGCTACGCAGCCGACGTAGCCAAGGTGGTTGGTCTGGGCTATGGTCGAAAATAACCGAAAACCCACATTCCGCCGTGCCCCACCGAGCTGGGCACCACAAGGGCTCGGAACTGCCGATTGTATTCTGAGGCTTGGTGCTCCGAAAAGTCTTTTCGGATACAAGGTGAAAAGGGGGATGGGGGGAAAGCAGAGAATTTTAAGGACAGCTATTCACGAAACGCGTCGGTACGCCGAAGGCGGCTGCTGACTCCCAAAACAAAGTAGTACCCAAACGGAGAAGCTGGATCTCCGGGAAGAAAGGAGGGCAGACACGAAACAGGTATTCGCAGAAACGCACAGAACGCCTAGGTTCCAAGGAGGAGTGGACCAATGGGGACCGGAGAGAAGGTCCGAAAGGTAGGGACTACGTCAGCGCGGAGGAACACCTTCGGTACTGGCAGAACGAGTCATGTGATCTCAAAGAAGGGCGGAGCGTCACGTGGCGGCCGCGGGAAGTAGAGCCGGCCGCGGGGGGAGGGGCGCCGGCGGGAGGGGAGGGGGCGGGGCCGAGGGCCGGGGCACTCTCTGCGTCCACGTCGGTGCGCGCGTCCACGTCGGTGCGCCCGCTCACCCACCGCGGCTTTCTCCTGCCATGCAGCTCCGGTTCGCCGTGACCCACGGCTGTCCCTCCGACCCCACCCAGGGCACCCATCCTGCGGCCGAGACCCTTCCCGCCAAAGGTCGACTCGTTCCCTGCTCCTTCCTCCGGAGCCAGCACCGCTGCTCCCTGACCCTCGGGCCTCCTCGGGCCTCCTCGGCCTCCGCTTCGGGGGGCCAGAGTGGATGTGAACAAAGACTCCTCCCCTCATTTCCCAACCCTGAGAGAAGGACCTAGGGCAGCTTTGGTTTCAAAGTTATAATGCATGGTTTAAAAGAGAGGAAAGAAAAAGCGCGCTGGTTACAGGTCTGAGAGAGTATAGGAAGAAGGGAATGTAGAGGGAAAGGTCGGGGGACAAGTTTGGGGAAAATCCAGTGGCCCAAAATCCCAGTTTCCCACCCACAGCCCAGCCCTTGGAGTGAAGAATTAGATCAGTTTTGTACAAGAGTTTTTAAAAAATCAAATCACAACAAAGCTGGCTTGGCTTTTCTTTGAGCCTCCCGGATTACCGAATGTCTGTGTGTCATTCTGGCCAGTCCTGTCTCCACCAGACAGTTTGGACTCTCCTGGGCCTCCGCTTATGTCCCAGTCTGGGGTTTCCAGGGAGTGCGAACACGAAGTTATAGTGAGGCTGCTGCAGAGTCTGACCCATGCGTCCATCCAGACTCCGTGTGGAGTGCAGGGCTCCCAGGGCAGAGAGGGGCGGGAGGGGCAGACCCTGCCCAGACAGTCCTCACCATGGGACAGGGCATCAGACGGCATCCCGAGTGCTCACCCTCCCTTTCCCCCCCACCCCAACTCAGGTGGAGGGGGAGCAGCTGTCACCAGAGCCGATGTTGGTGAAGGTTTCGGCTCAGCACAGAACGAACATCAGCGGTGAACCTGGGACGACAATAACTTGCATTGGTAGAGTCCTCAAAACACTAGCGTTAGGCAGCCTCATTGGAGATGTGGGGCAAAATGATCACCTTTCTCACATGAAACTGAGGTCCAGTTTGCCCAAAACCCACTGGCTAAAAGTGATGAACTTTACTGTAAGAAGGCCTGGGTTCAAATGCTAAGTTCTTAAGGGAAAAGAGATAAATAAGTCAAACAGGACATATATTTATTCCCTCTTGGGATCCCCCACCTCCTCTCCTCAGAAACCTAAGTGTCTAGCTTCCCTTACCTGAGGGCATCCAGCATTGGAAGCAGGTTGAGAAGGGCGGTGTCGCTGGGGTCACTGAACCAGGATTTGATGGGGATGGCATTGTCTAGGACACATGAAAATAAATGCACATGAGAAAAAACAGTTCAAGAGACAGGCTGATTTTTCTTTTTCTTTTTTTCTTTTTTTGGATTTTTCTTTTTATTTGGGAATGGGGATCATTGCTTTCAAATAGGTTCCTCCCCCACCCCCCCAAACTCAGCAGCCTAAATGAAACCTTCCTGATTCATCCTCCAAAATAAAACTAACTTTAAATCACCATATCTCACATTAGCGTGAGGCTGGCTTCTAGGCAAACTCATTGCCCCTGTGTCTCACCTGAAGCAAATTTGGTCTGAGCAACATGACCTATGAAAGGGATATATTGGGGAAGAGGAACATCTCATGTAAAAGAAATCTCTTGCGGGATCCCTGGGTGGCTCAGCGGTTTGGCGCCTGCCTTTGGCCCAGGGCGTGATCCTGGAGACACAGGATCCAATCCCACATCGGGCTCCCGGTGCATGGAGCCTGCTTCTCCCTCTGCCTGTGTCTCTGCCTCCCTCCCTCCCTCCCTCTCTCTCTCTCTCTCTCTCTCTCTCTCTCTCACTATCATAAATAAATAAATAAATATCATATCATAAATAAATAAATAAATAAATAAATAAATAAATAGCCTCTTGCATCCTGACCTACAGTAAACCAGGAATCCCAGGCTCCTGGCTTTCAGAATGCTGCCTCAGAACCACTTGCCGGTCCTGCCAGACTGGCCGCCTTCTTGCATACCTGGGTGGCTCCTATAGGCCCCTGGGGAGTTATCCAGGATGACGATGCTGGAGAGGTCACTGTGGACCACAGAGAGGTCTTTGATGTAGCTGCCCAGTTCCAAAGTGCAGTGCTGGAGGGAAGGGCGAGCTGGGCATCAGGAAGAGACTTGGCCCTATGACCGCTGCCCAGTCCCAACCTTGCCCTCGGCCAGCCCACTCCCTCAAGGGGGTTAGGCGGTATATGCCTCCCCCTGCCACCCTCCCTCCAGGATCCCATTCCAGGGCAGCTGCCTCAAACTCAGATCCTTCCCTGGTGGATTGCCTGCCAAGCTTCCTCTCAGCCCCTCACCTGTCTGTAGTACCTCCTCTTGAGAATGCTCCTGCTGTTGTCCAGTTTATCTGCCACAGCAGAGCCGTAAATCTCCATGCTTGCTGTGAACACCACCAGCTCATACCATTGACTCACCTGAGATTGAGCGGGAAGAGGGAGGCGTCAGAAGAGGGGACCGTTCCTCTAGACATACAGCTCTGCACTAGGATTCCAGCCTGGTTCTTGGGGCCTCTCAACAACATCAAACATCTCTGAGAACACAAAACTCTGAAAACTCCCAAACTCAAGAGTCCTAGGCACCGTGCACCCTTAAGATTCAGGGATGCAACAATTAAAGAGCAGGCAGGCCAAGGAAGAACAGAATTACATAAGCACAACAAATGAACCCAAACTGCTGAAAGCCAGCCAGCCGTCCTCTAACCTCCACTGACTGTCCCACAACCTCTCCTCTCTAAAACTGTCATACCCATTTCTCCTTAGCCCGTACTTCCTCCGAATCAGCTAAATTCACAGAGCCCTAAAACCATTCCTTCGTCACAGAGCTCCCTGTATTTTCTACAAACTCACCACTTCCAAGAAGAAATCCACATGGGGCCTCTTATGTACAAAAAAACGGACGGGATGTTTGTCTATTACCACCTGCAGAGAAACAGGGAAGGGCTTGGGGGATGGTCCTGAGCACCAGAGCACAGGCCCAAAAGACACCCCCACCACCCCATTGCCTGCTTCCCTCGTTGAGGCTGCCACTGCTGCCGGGGGACAGGGACAGGGACAAGACGCTCTGGGATTGGCAAAGGAAGCCCAGGTCTGAACGGAGTAAAAGACACAACCATCGCATCACTTCCCATCCCCACATACCTTGAGGATGAAGTCAGGGGGCGTTCCGGGCCGGACTGTGGGCCTCAGGACCCCATCATGATGGGAGTGAATAAGTGTCTCATCCAGATCCAGCACCAGGATCTTCCTCTTCACCTGACCTGAGCCACAATGCCAAGGATGATGATAGCAACTAACCTCCAGCCTGCATCTTGAACCCTACCTCACCCTAGAGGAGTCTTCCCAGCCAGCACACTCACCTAGCCGATTCCGGGACACGGGAGATAAGGGAAGGATGTCATATCGAACAGTCTGGTACTGAATTACCTAAAAATATCAAGAGAGGGAATTAGAACCCTTGACAAGGAACCTTTACCATATGCTGGGCATCCTGAAAGTGACTGAGGATTATTGCATTGAATCCTCAAAACCGTAGTAATAATATGATAATACTGACAACAGCAGCATCTCATCTCCGAGGCTTAGCCAGGTTAAATAGCTTGTGTGAGACTGCAAGCTAAGAATGATCTTATCTGGTTGCCTGTCCCCCCATTTAGAATGAAAGTTCCACAACATGCATGTTGTCTCCATCACTGTTGTATCCATGAGAGCACACATGATGTGAGGACATATACACAGATTCTCAGTTAATACCAGGGTCCTTGCAGGGGTGGAGGCGGGATGACCCCAGTGCCGTTTGACCCAGGCACCTGCCCTCTTGACCACGATACTAGTGTGCTATGCCAGAACAAAGAAACGCACGGCCCTCCGCACTTCTAGCCCAAGCATTCTTTGTGACAGCTCCCATTACCTCCCCTTGGGAACCTTAGTGGCCTGAGAGGAAGTCTTTGGGTACCTAAGGGGAAGGGAGGATGAGGGAATCCAGGGGTTGTCAGGTCAGCTAAGTTCCTCTGGCTGGGGGCCACCAGGCCTATTTTAACCAGCCACCTGTCCACTTCTGTCTCTCCCAGCCAAGTCACAAGTGGCAGAGAACCTCAGGCCTCTGACCTGCCTCCTTATTCCAGTACCCAGGGTAAGGCACAGAGTACTGGAAAGTCCCACCCACCGGGATAACCGACAGGGTATCAGGAAGGCTAGGGTGAAGGAAGGGCCATGA